TTCATTGTCAGCAGATCACAAGGGCAGAGCAGCTTAATTAATACCAATCACTGTTTATAACAGCGAGCCTTGCCAAATCGATCCTGGGCTCGCACTGACCCACGGCTCCTGCTCAGCACACGTCCCAGGGACTTGTGGCACATTGTGCGTGGGCAGACGTCAAACGCATCCTCTCCAGATGTACTTGTGTCTGATCGCTCACCCGTGCAGTTTCCGACCGAGGGAACTCGAGAAACAGAAGCACAATCTTGGGGAAGGGCCACGCAGGAAAAACAGGGAGAAGAACACGAGACTCACAGGCGGCAGCAACGAGGAGCTGCCTGTCAAAAGGAGTGAGAGCAGCAGCATTGATTTCTGGATGCATCCGCAACACCGAGCACAAACAGCAAGGCAGAGTAAAATCGCTGCCATGAGATAACAACAAATCAATGTCTCCAGGAATTGTACAGACAGGACTTTCTGCTTCCGAGATGTGAACTGAAGTACAATGAGAATAATGTGATCAGCCACAAAAACGGGACAAACTTCATTAGCTGGATGCAACGTGACGAGTTGTGATGCAAAAATGGAGGCGCTTTTGTAGATGTGTCTCCAGAGCTCATCGAGACAGCAGAGCTCCACACTCAGCGCTGGAAGCAGCACTGGGACTCGCGGGGGAACCGAGTCAGACCAGGCGGGACAGGCTGGGCAGCCCCACAGATCCCTCCCGGCTGCTTCGGGCAGGCGTTGGTTTCACCGAGCGCTGCAGTATCTTGTCAGTGTCTGTCACCGACCTGCAGAGACCGAGTTGAACCCGAAGTGCCGCCCTGAGCATCCCTCTGGGTTGGACACCTAGCACCTCAACTTTTTCAGGTCTGGTACATTCCAGGCTTCCCCAGGATATCCTTTTTCACTGGCCCCACTCAAGGCAAAGTTGGCCACTTGCCACAAGTCACCTGATGTTCAAAGGTGGCTCAGGTCAGCAGAAGAGAATGTGACCTTCCCATGGGGCTGCCAGGAGCCGCAGTGACAGGAACGGGGCACACACGGCCTCACTGCCCCACGCTGGGGTACGTGGCCAGAAGAGCCCCGTGTGTCTGCAGGCAGCCGACCTGCACTGGCCACCCTGACGTGAGCTGCCTGGCGCACGACCCAGCAGAGACATGTCAGCGCAGATTTCTCAGTGACACAACGTGCACCTTAAAGTCAAATCTAGTCCTATATTTTAAACAAATGAATCCCTTTCCTGCCTTCTTCCCATCACTTCCAATCACTTGTGCTGCGAGCGCTGTGAACGCCTCAATTCCTCCTCACTCTTCATTCTTCCAATTTATTTTTTGCCTTCCTTCCAGCCTGGAAAATGGATTTCTGTCCATTTCACTGTCTCAGAAAGTGTCGGCACCATGGTGCCAACAGAGACTTTTAAAATAAAGACAGCTATTTCCCTCTGACTGAAGGAGAGCAACGCAGACTCAAAGCCATGTTTCTGTCTTGCCTCAGGTCTGGGGAAGCTTCGCTTTACAAAAAGAAAAGCAATATT